AGCTCTATATAACTTACCTATATATATATATATATATATATATATATATATATATAGAAAGAGAAATGGCTTCTAAAGACAAAAAAAATTGTAATCAATTTATGGGTTCTAAAGAGGAGGACATTTAACAAAACAGCTTTAATCGATCCATGAATTTGGAGGAAATTCAAAATGGCTATAGGAACTTCAACAGGCACATTTGTTTAAAGCTTGGATATTTATAAGCCATAAAATCAACGTATTTCACAATTGAGAATCCTCTTGTTCAATTGTAACCCTAATTTTAAGTCTCCGGATTTGTAGTTCACCTTTTGGAACTATTTTATTCACCTCTCCATTTATTGTTTCTTTTAAGTTATATGTTGCTTAAATATTTTGCGAGTAACCCATAAACACACACTCACACACACTCTGTCTTCACAAATTAATTAGTTCTCGTAATTTCGAAGACATGGGAGTCTTCTCTCTTAGATCCAAAATTGATTAGTTTTTGCAATTTTGAAGACACTAGAATGGCTAGCTGAGATCATTGTGTTGGAAGAAGAGGTTGTTCAATTTGAAGAATAGGTTATGAATGAGAATGGCCTGGGCCTTGGCAGTAGTATTGTTGAGTCCCATGGTGAGGTTTTGGACTCCATTCTCATCAAAAGGTAGGGGCTCAAATCCCTATTGACTTACCACTTTTCAAAAAAACGGCTGGGTCATGGTGGTAGCATCCCCACACCCAATTACCACATCATGGTATCCATTCCTACCATTGACACCCCCAATTAACACCATCAAAATGTAATTCCCTAATCTATTGAATAAACGGGTAGTGGGGCATGTCTTCTCCACTGAATTACCCAAAAAAAAAAAGAGTAGGTTGTGAATCTAAATAGGACATGTACTAAAAAGTTGTGTATATATAAGGAAAAAAAGCCCTCTCTTAACCTTGTTCAATCAAACTAGAACACTCCTTCTCTAGGTAATCATCTTTGGATGCAGTCTAAGATTGAATGTAAGGTATGGGAAGGATCAAGTAGATAATGGAGACCTATCTAAAAGTGTCCCCTAGTGCCCCAAATAAAATATGAGAGACCACAACATGGTTGAAGATCACCATGAAAAAGAGATTCATCTAATAATAAATTCTTCAAGAACAATTTCTCGCCCCAATTGGTTGTATAAAAAACCAGGCCCAATTTGAGGTACCCGGTGAAGGAATAGTCGTTGAGCAAGAAGTGCCTTGGTTTATACATTAGTTTGGGGGTGCTAGTAATACTTATTTATTATTCATTAATTGTATTTTGCTTTTCTTCCATTTATTGAATTTGTCAAGTTTTTTGTTCCTTATGTATTTGATAGCTAGAATTTGATTTTGGTACTGTAAAATAGTTTTTCTTCCTATTATTGAATTTGCCCCTTTTTTACTTTGCAATTGAATCAGAGGTTCTCTCTCTCTATCGGTATTTTTTAGAGTAATACAAAGGGAAAAAGCAAAAATGTTAAATAGTGAACTTCGTAAGTATGGTTAGATAAATTTTTCAAAATTGATGACCATGCCCCCAAGAAGATCTCGTATTATTGAAACACCACCAATTTTCACTACTTGCATTATGTAAATGGCAAAATATGTCTCTTATTTGATCATCCCAACAGCAGGAACTTGATTTGCACCTACTATTAAAGAGGATGCCCCTTTTCATCTTTAGACCTATGGATCATTTCCATTTCACACAAATGTTGTCCCTTTAAATGAAATAATCATATGATTTCAAAAACCTACTTCCTAATTTAATATAACATCACCAAAGCAGTGAACTAACTGAAACACCTATAGTTGTCAATATGTATTTGAATGGATATGGGCTGTAACACAACTTTTTCATTATTTTGTTTTTAAAAATAGGGAAAATTGCATAAACCCCCAAAAAAGTAGACTTTTTAGGTACTTTACCCACCCTAATTTTTATTACCATATGTTTCCCCAAAATCAAAATTTATAGCAAATTACATAACAAATCATTTTTGGATCTCAATAAAAGAAAACGCCGGACCGTGGTTGTATATTGCTGGACCCATCGATTCTGTCGTACAGGAACTGTACACTGCTTGTCGAGACCCATCTATTCTGCCTTACCGGAACTATACACTGTTGGCCAGCTTATTCCGGATACAATTTTGCCGGACCGTAGCTCACAAATGCCAGACCGCTCATTAATCCAAAACACATGCCAGACCGCACTTATAAAATGTCGGAACGCCCATTACTCCAGTAACATGGGCGTCGGACCGCCACTTCAAAACGTCGGACTACCCAGTACTCCAATGACACATTCCTCAAACGGCCCATTCCACTAACTTAAGCATTGAACCGCCTCTTCAAAACGCCAGACCGCCCACTCCAGTGACATATGCGTTGGACCGTAGCTCACAAATACCAGACCGCTCATTAATCCAAAAACAAATGCCAGACCACACTTGTAAAACTCCAGAACGCTCAGAAAGGAGAAAATCATGAGGGAAAAATAAAAAGGTGAGGGAAATAAAAAATAAAAGGGAGGGTAGTTTAGTCTTTATTTCATTCTTTTTTTTTTATTGGGGGAATATTTGCTATAAAACTTGGTTTTGGGGAAAAACATGCTATGAAAAGTTACGCAGGGATAAAGTGCCTAAAAAGTCTACTTTTGGAGGTTTCATTGAATTTTCCCTTAAAAAGATATAGATAAGACTATAAGTTAATGAAAGAATATATTTTTAAAAAATATATAGATAAGACTATAAGTTAATGAAAGAATATCTTGATGTTCTGATGCAAATTGATGCACTAATATCAATTGATGCAGAGAGAAATAACACCAAAAATAAATAAAAATAAAAAAAGAAAGGTTGAGAGAATATACCATCCCTCAAGGTTTGCAAGGGAATCCGCTCTAAAAATAATCTCTAACGATATCAAATTTTATTAACTCAACGTTTGCAAGGGAATCCACCAAAAAAATAATCTCTTCGCGAGATCAAATTTTATTAACTCATTCACTACATTTACAATGAAGAGAAACATCCATTTAAATATACTAAAAAAAGAAAAGAAGATAGACAAGTGGCTTTTCTATTTTATCTCCCTTAGCCTATTTTCTTTCATTCCTATCTTCTCTCTCTTAAATTCACGTGCCACCCACATTTTACCATTGTTGAAAAGATAAACCAGCCCGGTTTACCTTATCCAATTTATACTCCTAAACTAACTATATTTAATCTTATCCTATTTACATTCCTAAACTAACTAACCCAATCCATAAATATTAACTCACTGCAGAAACTCAATGCCCACCTATCCCCTGCGCATCTCCTTTAAATTTTGAATTTCTTTTTTCTGCTGCATCATGTTCTCATACGACCAAATCCAAAGAGCTCAGTTTTTTTTTTTTTGAATATGGACTATATTATGTGATGGACGAACAATCTAAGGTTCCAAGAGCTCAAAATCAATTTTAAATTTTCTTTTACGGGAATAAAGATGACAATAAGGTAATATGGATCCTAGGCGTACTCCATGCTTTGAAGTAAATGCTTCGGAAATAAGACTATTGGTGGAATTCCAAACTTATTGAATAAATGTGGAAATTGGCCTTACCATATATCGACTTGGGGTAGCTTAACAAGGAGAACAAGACACATTAGCCATGCCAAATTGAAAAAGGTGGATTTTAGCCCAAATCAGCTCTTCTTAGAACGATTTTGTAGTATTTTTCTTAATTTTTTTGTTACTAGCCATTTTGCAATTTTAAGATTAGGACTATTTTGAAATGTTGGGAAATTATAAGAACTTAATTATAATTAGGATAATAGTTAGGAGGATTACTTTTTTTATTTGTAATATTTTGATAATTTTGTTGAGTTTTTGTTTAAACAAAAACTAGGCTTTTGCTTCTTGAGATTTTCTCTTTGTGGTTCGCTTATATCAATGTTTTTGGAATCACTTCACTTTGATGGAAGAGGCCGAAGACTCCATATGTGTAGATACCCTCTTGAAATTTTGGCTAAGGGAACTTTTTAAAACCTCAATTTTAAGCCCGAATGACCACAAAAACCCTAATAGACTATCGGCAACCTAGAACCAATACAATTGCCCTAAAATTGCCCAAAACATATCCCACTTTAAAGTAGATCTTGAGAGCTTTCAAACGGTCCAAGAATGGTCTGAATCGAACCTACGGAAAAAACAATCAAATAAATGACAATTTAGTCCTTATGAGACCTAAGTATTAGGCCATGGGATACGGCCCGACAGGCCCAGATGCAGCCCGATGATGCAGTAATGGTGTTTTCTTTACTAGATAAGGCTAAAACTTCAAGATAAATCCAAAAAATTTCAAAAAAAAATCACCAATTGAATCTTATAGATACCCCCTCCATAATAAAAAAAAAAGACTGGAAGAAAAGATCAAGAAATCCCATAGAAATTTTCAAAATTAGAAAAATAATCCAAAAATAGGAAAAACCCCTAGAAAATTTATCAAAAATTAGAAAAAAAACCCAAAAAATCACATAAAATTCCAAAATTCATATTCAACCTTAAAAAATTAGAAAAAATCCAAAAAATCCCTAAAAATCATAAAAAAATCCAGAATTTATATTCAACCTTAGAAGATCCCAAAACCCTTAGAAAACTAAGAGAATTCTCCTCCAATCCCAAAAAAGCCTAGGAAGACCCAACTTAAAATTCCTAGTTTTTCCCTCTGCCTTAGGAACCCTAGATCTAGGGCAAAGAACTTTAGATCTGTCAATTCCAACAAACAAAGCCATCCAAAAAAGAAGATGGGGTATAACTCTGACAAAATGTTAGAATATATCGTTATATTTATTTAAATATTATTGAAATATTACATATATTAAATATTATTTTTATATTAAATATTAAATAGTATATAATATATATTAATAATTTAAATAACAATATATAATATATGACATAATATAATATATAATATAGTGTATTTTATATTTATTTTATTAATATATTTGTATTATATATAATATATAATATAATATACGTATATAAAAATATTATATAAATAATATAAATATATAATATAATATAAGGTTATGTTAGGGTGTTCACACTGTAGAGTAATTTATCATTGTACTCAATAATTTCAGACATTTATTTACCATTGTTTTGTATATAGAGCAATTTTTTAAGATGGGTATTTTTAGTCATTAGGAGGCGTATAACATCATCAACATGGGAGATGACATCACCCATATGAGCATTACATATTATTAGTGTGTTCTATGTGGATTATGTCATAACCTATATGGATAATGTCAAACCCTTTTATTAAAATAATGCTCCTTGTACAAAACAATGATATATAAGTGTCCAAAATTATTGAGTACAATGATAAATTACTCCATAATGTGAGTACCCTAACATAACCCTATAATATAATACAAATATAATTAATAATATAAATATAAGGAGGGAGACAAAATAGGTTTGAGGAGAAAGCCCTCTTTGAGGGCCAAGTTCCCATTTTAAGTTCCATCATTTTAAATGGAACTTTTTTTCTTAAGCACAATGGAATAAGGAAGTTTTGTGAAAAATCTTTACTGTATAAGTTTGTAGATGCCTCATTTTAAATCTGACAAATTTTATGATTTTATAAACTCTTAGGACCACATTATACTAGTAGACCCAATTTAATTATCCCAAAACTACCCAAATCTTATCTCAATTTGAAGTAGAGCTCAACAACTTTCCAACGGTCCACGAATCGCTTGAATCGGACCTATGGATAAAAATATATAACAAATGAGAATTTTGTCCTTTTGTGAGACCCAACTATCGGGCCCTGGGCCGGGCTGCAACGGGCCCGACATGCCCAGAGGCGGGCTGATGATGCAGTAAACACGTTTTCTTTAATTAGATAAGGCTAAAACTTCAATATAAATCCAAATTTTTTTGAAAAAACTCCAAAAAAATTAGAAAAAATCACCAATTGAATTTTATAAATACCTTATCTCCTTAACCCAAAAGGAGAGAGAAAAAGAGACCAAAAAAACATTAGAAATTCTCAAAATTAGGAAAATTACCCAAAATACCAAAAATAGGAAAAACCCTTAGAAAATTCTTAAAAATTTAGAAACAAATCCCCAAAAATCCCAAAAAAATTAGAGAAAATCTCAGAATTCATATTCAACCTATGGAGATCATAAAACCTTTAGAAAACTAAGGAAATTCTCCTCCAGACCTTTGGAAAGACCGATAACTTTAGAAAAATCTCTAGATTTGAAAACGTTAGAGAAGACAGAAACCCTAGCCTCCTGAAGTCCTAACCCCCAAGACTGAAAAAACCCTAGATCAAAACTAGAATTAGGGAATAATTACCCTAGATCTAACTTTTTATACCAGAGATCTGCTGGTCAACATCCGAATCAGAGAGGCAAAGAGGACCGGTTATGATACGGGTGAGCCCTTGAAGGCTCGGAAATCTTGGGCCATCTGGCCTGGTTTGATATTATTTCTTCCTCTCTCTTTTTTCTTCCTTTCTACTGTTTTGCTTCTTTTATTTATTTTTCGATTGGTTAACTTATTGTAAAAATTGTATTTTAATGCTCTGGATCATGCTGGCTCTGCCACAAATCTGAGAGTAGATCTTCTCGTTTCCGAGCAAATTTGGCATCAGATCGGAATTCCATCTGTCCCACTTTCTCTACCACTTTATTTACATCTTTTTAATTAGTTTAAGGTATTAAAATTCGAGAGATGTTCATTGGAAGATCTGTCAAATTTTCATCGTAAACATTTGGCGCCCACCGTGGGGCTATTTCGAGCTTGATCCAAGCTTCAAGATATGATTTTTATTCACTGTTTTCAGTCACAAAAGGTCCCAAAAGTCGGTTGTGACCAGAATCCAGGGTTTTGGTGCTCCGAAACCCTACTTTTTCTGGGCGACACTCCCAGTGTTGCCCAAATTCAAAGGTCTTAGAAGCCTCTGGAGCTTTGTGGATATGTTCTAGGGACTCTTTTGTGACTGCACAAAAAGTTCAGATCAAAATAAATATTTTTCAGTTCAATCTGGGCTTTTTTATTTTACTTTATTTTAATTTATTTCATCATAAATATTTTCATTTCCTGCTTCTTCCAAGTTTAAAGTACTCTTATTTCATCAATATTAACAAGATTAAAAATAAAAAATAAAAATCTTTTTGGGCGACACCAGCCCGTGAGGAGCGACACCACTAGTGCCTCTTGGGCAACACCACCCATGTCGCCCAATTGCAAGTATCCCAAAAAATTTCTCGGACCCCACAGGACCATTCCAGGGACTTTTGGCTTCATGTTAA